AGGGAGAGAGATCGAGTGGAAATGGAGCTTGGAGCAACAATGGAGCTTAGAGATGGAAAAGGTGGTCAACTAGAGGTAGAAGACGCCCCTTATATAGTCGTGGACAAATTCCAACCGTTATCCACATGTTCAGCCTGCGACACACGGTACTACCGCTCCAGGGGCGCGGTACTACCGCTAGGCTGTGCGGTACTATCGTGGCTGACCACAGTACTACCGCGACAGCAACACAGGCCGGAACTACCCTGATAAGGGGGCAGTACTACCGCTTGCGCGGTACTACCGCACCCACCTGCGGTACTACCGCAAGGCAGGAAAGTCATGGCCTGGGAAGGGCGCGGATGAAATAAATTACATCCGTGCCTACTTCCGCTGAACCGGAGGAGGTACAAAAATCCGATGCGGTACTACCGCCCGCGAGGCGCGGTACTACCGTGCGGACGCGGATGTAAAAAATTACATCCACGCCTACTACCGCGACACTGCGGTACTAGGTAGGAGGGCCACGGTACTACGACTCCTAGGGAGCGGTACTACCGTGGGCCTCCACGGTACTACCGCTCTGGACGAGCGGTACTACCGTGGAGGGCGCGGATGTAAAAATTTACATCCGCCCCTACTACCGCACTGGAGCGGCACAAGGCCAGGGAGCCGCGGTACTACCGCTCCAGATGAGCGGTACTACCGTGACACCCAGCGGTACTACCGCAAGCACAGCAGTAGTCGTCAGATTTCCGTACAACCAAGATAACAAAGGGAAGCTCCAAAAGGCAGGGAAAGGAGGAACAAGTGTACGTGTTGATTCCACCCAAACCTTTCCGACGCGGACCCCCTCTTAATAGTACGGATCTCCTACGACTCAAATCCACCAAAGAGAAACGTAGAACGACGCCGACTTCAATAGTCTCCGAGGGGCACCGGATCGTCTCATGCCTAGATATGAATAACCTGAGAAACTCAAGGCACACGATTAGTCCGCAAAAGCATTGTCATCAATCACCAAAACACCTAAGGGAAAAATATGCCCTTACAATCTCCCCCTTTTTGGTGGATTGATGACAACACGGGATTTGCATATGGATAAGATAATTTAGAGCAGGGGCAAACCCCACCTCTCTAAAATATAGACGGGCTCCCCCTAGATGTGTGCACTTTAGATGAATGCTTTGGACTGCATAGCACACAGACTAGGATCAACACTCCACCTATATTTTAGAGACTAAGACATGATTATAAGCATAGCATAGCATAAAAATAGCACAATATAACACGAGCTCGCTAGGATAGATAGAGTGCATATGTCTTACACCATACGAAGTAAAGCTACCGAGGTTCAACCGAGAAAGCAGCAAACACACGACACAAACGAGAAAGCAGCAAACACACGACATACTCGCAAATCCCTACACTCTCTCCCCCTTTGGCATCGAGACGCCAAAAAGGCAGAGAGGACACCTACACACAAGAGGTGGCTCAAGCAGAGAACTCGTCCCAATCCTCTCCATCGGACGCCACGGCAGCAGGGATGGTCTCCTCGACATCCTCCTCAGACTCAGTCCACCTGTAGCCCTGCTTCTCCATCCACTCGGCTTCTGGAGTGATGTGCTCCTCAGACCCGCCAGACACTGCCTCACCATAGAGTTGCAAGATCTTATTGTCCCGGCGACGACTCTCCTTGGACGCCATGTGAGTCCTGTACTGCCCCTTGGCTTGCATGCAGAAAAGAGTCTTCATCTTGTCCTTCAGCTTCTTGGCCCATGATGGCATAGAGGCACTCTGGGAAGGTCTAGCAGCATGGCCCTCAACAACATCCTCGGGGCCAGCATCCTCCTCATCAACAGCAGTCCTAGCCGCAGTCGCCTCGACGCGAGTAGTGGTGTTGGCCCAGTTTGGTTTGATACGCAGGCAGATGGGCTCATGGCAAACCCAGTCAGGAGCAAGAAACTCATCAGCAGGAAACATCTTCTCCCCAAGTCTTCGAAATCAGCAAAAACAGATAGGGCCCATAGATAGGCACCTTGCGGTTGAACACTGCAAACCGGAGCTCACACCACATGATGTGTGAGACATCAAGTGGCTGTGACTGAGACGAACGAGCATCCTCGCAGATGAGCATCATGTCCACCATATAGGCATGAACCTTGTCTTTATCACCGATGCGAGGGAACAAGGAGTTGCGGAAGATGCGATACATGATATCCAGGAAAGGGTTGAGCACCAAAGTTGTCCTGCCATTGGCGAGTGCCTTCTCAACCATGAAAGGGGAAAGTCTGTCCTTGCTGGCAGAGTCAGCATTGGCATGGGGGCGAACACCCACTGGAGAGTCGAGACCATCATCAGGAACCTGGAGGAGATCCATGAACTCCTTCCAGGTAGCAGACAACTTACGGCCATTGGTCATCCAGGTCATCCTCCGTTCCTCATCGGAGTGAAAGTAGACTGAGGCAAAGAACTGACAGATGAGCTCAGGGTCATAGTCGAGGTGGAAGGTAATCACATGCTCAATGCCAAACTGCTCCACCAAGTCCAGAGCCTCTCCAAAGTAGTCACGAAACTTGTCCTTCCTCATGTGATGCATATCAATCCACTTCACCTCCACATAGGTGTTCTGCTTGTTCTTGATGACATCCAGATAGATGTTGACCTGTTGCTTGTTCCAGAACAACTCACAGCCTCTGAAGGTGGCACGCGGATGCACATAAGGCTGAAGCTGCCTGAGACGGACATAATCAGCTTGGGCAATCTCATTCATGCCCTTAGCGGGCTCCTTGTGCTTGCTAGCTGAGTGCTTGACATTGCGCTTGGAGGCAGACGAGCCTTCTGGTACTTCACCTGGGTTGCGCAGACGTTTGGAGCCAGTGTCACGACTGGGGTTGGACCGGCGAGAGCCACCACCTGAGACACACACGCAAAACACCAAAGACGCGAGAAGATCAATGCAAAGGCCACGAAAAAGCACAAGAAACACATAGAAGGCATACGAGAAAGTTGGCATGCGATAGATGTGAGCCACGGTAAAACTGCCACTGCTTGCGGTACTAAAATATTAGTACTGCTCCAACAGCGGTAGTACCGTGCTAGGGCACGGTAGTACCGTGGTTGGGGCGGAAGTAAACTTTTAGTACCGCACAGAACGTGGTAGTACCACTCCCGAGGGGCGGTAGTACCGCGCCATACGGGCGGTAGTACCGCGTCGCGTCAGATCCAACGGACGGTTTGAATCTGAAAAGAACCGCGAAACAATGGCGGTGCCACGGTGATCCGATCTAGCGCAAGACAACAATACAAGTATAAATCCTATGCAATACCACGCTCGCGAGGCGCGGTACTACCGCCCGCGAGGCGCGGTACAAAAATCCGACGCGGTACTACCGCCCGCGAGGCGGTATACTACCGTGCGGATGCGGATGTAAAAAATTATATCCGCGCCTACTATCGCGACACTGCGGTACTAGGTAGGAGGGCCACGGTACTACGACTCCTAGGGAGCGGTACTACCATGGGCCTCCGCGGTACTACCGCTCTGGACGAGCGGTACTACCGTGGAGGGCGCGGATGTAAAAATTTACATCCGCCCATACTACCGCACCGGAGCGGCACAAGGCCAGGGAGCCGCGGTACTACCGCTCCAGATGAGCGGTACTACCGTGACACCCAGCGGTACTACCGCGTGTGCTTGCGGTACTACCGCAAGCACAGCAGTAGTCGTCAGATTTCTGTACAACCAAGATAACAAAGGGAAGCTCCAAAAGGCAGGGAAAGGAGGAACAAGTGTACGTGTTGATTCCACCCAAAGCTTTCCGACGCGGACCCCCTCTTAATAGTACGGCTCTCCTACGACTCAAATCCACCAAAGAGAAATGTAGAACGACGCCGACTTCAATAGTCTCCGAGGGGCACCGAATCGTCTCATGCCTAGATATGAATAACCTGAGAAACTCAAGGCACACGATTAGTCCGCAAAAGCATTGTCATCAATCACCAAAACACCTAAGGGAAAAATATGCCCTTACAATTATTTCCTCCGTCCACCGCTTATTCTTTTCTTCCTCACAGCGATCGAATCATGGCATTGTTACTCCGTCGCGTATCTTTTTCTCGCGTGCTTGTGCTGCAGGATAGACGACCGTTGATGCAAGCCGGCCACCATGGCCTATGTTGGGGGCTGTAGTATAGATGACCGTCGTCGTGTGTTAGCCGACGCAACCCGCCTTACCGGTGTTGTAGAGCTTGCCAGCCGTCGCCGATTTTGTAGCGAAGACAACTGCAAAACCGGCGTCTGTTGCAAGCTTGCCCGAACGGAGCGAGCGAAGGAGGCACGCTGCCGTCGAGGCGCCATCGGGCCCGCATCCGCCGTCGTCCATGGCTTCCACCTCCTCGAGGTGTTGCAGCAGCAACAATCCCCGCAAAATGATTTGTGTTTCAACAATTTGTACTCCCTCCGTCCCAATGTCAAAAATGCTCTTATATTATGGAACGGAGGGAGTACAACATAATCTTTGTTGCAAAAAACCGGTGGACATTTCTGCAACATGATCTTTGTTGTAAATTTTTTTGCAACATCACCTCTGTTTGCAAAGGTTTCTGCAACACGACCTATACTATAAATATTTCTATAACACCGCTCTTGTTGCAAGTGAGGTTGCACACGTGGATGGGTAGATCGGACCCCCCGCGTTCATCCAACGGTCAGCCGGGCGACGGACGTTTTCTAGTACTTATCTGCCGACCGACACGTAGGGCCGTCCTTCTTTTTTCGACTTCATTATTATCCAGGCCTATCGCTTGTGAATCATCTGTCACCACACGCTGGCTAGCGGGCCCCAGACGTCGGCGTCTCGCTGCCCGTGTCGCATCTCCAACCCCGCACGACCCATCTCTCCATGCTCCTCCGCCTCCTCTCGTCCGCCTCTCGCGCCATCGCAGCAAAACCTCACCCACCCCAAACCCTAGCCGCTGCTGCAGTTGGCGCCACCTCAACCACCCGGAAGCTCGCAGCCATGGCGGGTAACCGGGAGGCGTTCCGCGTGGCGGTGGGGAACACGCTCGAGCGGCGCCTCTTCTACGTGCCGTCCTTCAAGATCTACGGAGGCGTCGCGGGGCTCTATGACTACGGGCCGCCAGGGTGCGCCGTCAAGGCAAACGTCCTCGCCTTCTGGCGCCAGGTTGCCTGACATGCCTCTTTTCTACTACTACTTCGCGAGCTTGTAGAGTCCTAGTTCGATGAGATTCTTGATTGGGGGCGAGTCCTCGTGGGTTTCGAGGGGAATGTGGCCCTTTTCGCCTTTTTGGTTATGAATTGTGGCGAGTGTGACTGCAATTGGTGCTACTGATACTGGGTGATCAGTTTTGGTCTCGACTCGCAAACAGTGTGTCCGGTGTAACTCAGTGAAGTGACGTGCCGTGTTTGTTTTGCTGTATTACTTGTGGTGTCGTGTAGCATGTGCCCGTTGCTGAAGTTGGTTAGCTTCCAATCAAGAAATGTGGCCACTTGACACTTTAGAGCTAAATTTTCCTCCTGTAATGTAAATTGGAGCGATCGTCTTTCTAGTTAAATCAGTTTGTTGATCAGCAGCAAACTAGCCTGGTTTCCTCAACTTGTAAACTTTAGCTTTGTGAATATAGGAGATTAGGAGGAACTGATCACCTTATACTGAACTTGCTGCCTTAAATTGTACTACTTCCGAGCCATACTGTAGGTCTCCAAGGTGACACCTTAACCATCAATTTATATGAAAGTATACCGTGTTCAGTAAAAACTTAAGTATACATTATTAAGCTATATTTCATGGTATATCTAGTAATATCAACTTAGTCGTAGGGACGTTGGTTCTTTTTGTATGCTGATGGTGAAACCTAATACTATTTGACTAGCAGAAATTCTAGAATGATCCACACTTTGACTCAGAGGGCCTAGAAAGTTGCAAATGTTGCTAGCTAATTTTCTACCCCTCTTAGTTACAGAAGGAATAGCAACTTGGGCGCTCTGGTCAATGAGTCCACTTGCGCCGCTGAACCACTGACTGCTAGTCAGTTCATTCTGCCCCACACCGGAATCGATGGGAAGTCTCTTTGGGCCTATGGCGATAAATAAGAAAGAGAATGGGTGCATGGAAAGCAAAATGATGGTAGACGTTCATTTTGTTGGCTTCCTCAGTATGCAACCCACACTCCTACAACTAGTACACTTGGAGTCAACCAACTCAGACACTCGTACCACATTTGCACAAATGCTGAGTACACTAGTGATCTA